CCAAGCTGCAAGACATGTTTGTCTTAAAAGCTCTGATACATACACAGTGGTGGACAAGCAGACTCTCGAATTGTGTTCCTTTGATGAAGGCAGCCAAATGGACAACATGCTAGTTCAAACAAACAAACGTTATAAATGTAACCTGTGTGACAAAACATTCTCAACCCCCAATGAGGTGGTCAAACATACGTGCCAAGCCCAAAATTCTGATGTCTTTGCTCTGGAAGCAGAAGGAAAGTCCATTCTTTTGAGCAGTGGAGACTCAGAACCTGCTGACAATGAAAACTCAATGCTAACTTCTATTAAGAAAGAGCAAGAAAGTGTGCTAGATTAATTTCCGTCACTATGAAATCTTTCTTTCTTTGTAAATTTTTCTTTTTTTCTTAAAAATCTATCATTTCTATCTCTTCCGTCCCTTTACCTTCCACTTTCAACATAGGTTTGAATTAGAGTGTAGCTAGAAAAAAAAAAACAAACAAAAAAAAAAAATCTCACTCTTTTGCTCACAATGTATTTCCTATTTTATATGAATATTATTGTTTTTTTCATTTATTTGTGCTTTATAATGAAACTGGAAAGATGAGATGATCTCCCTTTATATCAGTAGAACTACTGACATTTCATAGATAACTCGTTTGTAGGTGGAAACTGTTTAACTTGAAATATATTTGTGTATAACGATGAAGCAAGTCTTTGGTGGTAAGAAACATAAATTTATACATATGTTTAATATATCATACTTGTTTTCAGCCAGGTGCAAATAGGACAAGACAGCATTTTCTGACACTTCTGTGGAAAATATTAATTCAAAGAAATACAGTTTTTAAAGCGTTGGAGTAGCTCTTAGAGAGAAAATCTTACTATGAGCTTTGTTTCTTAATTATTACTTCTCAATAGAAAACACGTGACCTAGGTTAATGTTAAGTTACTATGCCATAGTTATAACCATAGTACAAATATGAAAACATTTTTTCCTCCTCTAATTATTTCATAGGAAATGCTGCCTGTTTTGGTAGGCTATCTTTTATGTGGGTTTTAATGATAATCAGTTCACCCATCCACAGTGCATTTTTCTTTCAATACCGTATCTACACAAAACATACTCAACTTGCACAACAGGTTTTCCTGACACGGTGTGATTTGAAGAGTGTTGGAGACCAAGGAAACATTTTCTAGTGAAAAGTGAGCATCTTATAATATCCTGAAACAAAATACACGTGTCTTACTTTTTAAACCTAATGACTTAAGACCTTAACTACAGGTCTTTTAACCACAGTCTGTGAACCACACCGTTCAAACAGCTGCAGATGCTACAGAATTCAGAGTACTCCCCACGAGCCTAATAACTGAAATTGGTGACATTCTTTACAGTCAAAACTTTTACCTTAGAATCCCCTAGTAGTATTTCTCTCTACCAGTCTTTGTAAACCTATTTGTGGAACTTAAAATTTCCTATCCTATAATAGCCATTGTTTCCCGATTATTATTTTTTTATTTTTTTTTTTACATTTCAGTGAATCATTGCATAGGTATATTGTTCATTTCTATTTTAATGATTATTATTGCATAGCAACCTGCCGTGCCTTACAGCTTACTTAGCTATATCCTCCAATGGGTCACATTCCTCCCAGTTCACAATTATGGTCATTTTGTTTGCTGTCAACTGAAGGCCAATTAAATTGTTTGTGTTTATTTTTTTTAATTATTTACTTCTTACCATAGGAAATTAGGCCCAGTTACACACACATGGCAATCTGTACAAATACAATCACCTATGTTTCATGTATTCTTAATGCAATCTCTTCTATATCTTTATTTCTAACTTTGTGTATGCCAATATTTTATCATGGTGAAACAGCACTGTTCCAGAAAGATAACAAGAAATGAAATAATGCAGTTTCTTAAGTATGGCCCCTTCTTGTGATTTATTTTATTTTTAGGTTTTAAGTGCTATATCATAAATCTTAATTGAATTTATTACTGGAATAACTGTTGCATTGCTTGTTCCAGTTACAAGCTCTCTCATCGAAAGCAGCTCAGATTGTTATAATTTTCCACGTCGCCTTTATTTTAAATATAATTTAAAGCAGCAGCTCTCGGAGAATACTTCAATTAACCTGTTGCTTTATATCTGTTGTCATGTACATGAATTTTTATTTTCTTCAAAATAAAGCAATCTTTTTTGTAAAAAAACTAAACAAAAAAAACTCTGCGTTTTTAAAGTCCACATTGCCACCTTCAAACTTACTATATGCATCCTTTAACGTTATGTCTGACTTATTTACCAGATTACAAAAGTTTTGCAGTGCAAGAGCTATTGGCAGTATCAAGCCTTGAAAAATTAAATAAAATTGAGAGGGAGAGCAGTGTTACCAGAGATTGTCGATTTTCATTAAATTGTAATTATTAATGTACATTTACAATTAATGTAATGTATCCTTAAAAACACCTAATCAATTGTTTAAATACAGATATTAAAAGTATTTAGAGCTTGGTCTAATTTGTTTAATGTTTGGAATTTCTTTTATATTTTCATATATACTATACTTTTTAAATCACAGTACTTTTTCAAGCATTTCTACAGCTTGCAAATTGATTGTGCATGTCTTAATACAAAATAATTGGCTTTGAGGCAGTAAACTTAAATAGTTTTATTGGTGACTATATGCTACCAATTTCAGGGCTAATAAAAGAAAGCTAAAAGCTTATCTTTATTAAGGTTGTATTTGAGTTAACTGAGCTTGGTTAGAACATCGTATACCAAATTGTAGTAAAGTCAGAAATGCATTGCTAAATTTAGGCAACAATAGCTGATTTGGAAAACTTATCAAAGTCTACTAAACTACCGAATGGCGCTCTCCTGGCTGTTCCGCAACAAAAGGAAGCAGGCGTTCGTATGTTTCAGCAGTGGTTCAGGAAGTCGAGTGTCCGATTTTAGTTCCAGACACTCGACGACCAAGTCGCGCTGCCTCTTTTCGTGCAAACAAGATGGCCGCCCAGAGAGCGCTTAATAGACGATTCCCTTTGAAGGTAATGAGCCAGGAGGGTGGTCGGTGGTCTGTAGTTTAATCTACCGAACCAATAAAATCCCAAATAGACGAATACAGCTGAAAGTCACGAATAAACAGAAGAAAATGCCGAAAATAAGTCTATTTTCTTCACAATAATCACCAAAGATAAAATAAAGAATAGATAAAAGATATATGGGATAGGTGATGTAAATTTTTTATATATATATATATATATATATACACTGCTCAAAGAAATAAAGGGAACACTTAAACAACACAATGTAACTCCAAGTCAATCACACTTCTGTGAAATCAAACTGTGCACTTAGGAAGCAACACTGAGTGACAATCAATTTCACATGCTGTTGTGCAAATGGGATAGACAACAGGTGGAAATTATAGGCAATTAGCAAGACACCCCCAATAAAGAAGTGGTTCTGCCGGTGGTGACCACAGACCACTTCTCAGTTCCTATGCTTCCTGGCTGATGTTTTGGCCACTTTTGAATGCTGGCGGTGCTTTCACTCTAGTGGTAGCATGAAACTGAGTCTACAACCCACACAAGTGGCTCAGGTAGTGCAGCTCATCCAGGATAGCACATCAGTGCGAGCTGTGGCAAGAAGGTTTGCTGTGTTTGTCAGCGTAGTGGCCAGAGCATGGAGTCGCTACCAGGAGACAGACCAGTACATCAGGAGACGTGTAGGAGGGCAACAACCCAGCAGCAGGACCGCTACCTCCGCCTTTGTGCAAGGAGGAGCACTGCCAGAGCCCTGCAAAATTACTTCCAGCAGGCCACAAATGTACATGTTTCTGCTCAAAAACAGTCAGAAACAGACTCCATGAGTGTAACAGACCGTTTTGCACACAAGAGGTTAAAAACCGCTTAGGCGATATTCCCCTTTTCAGATGCACAGACAGCTACTGCAATCATCAATCTCCCGAACTGCAAACACATGAATTCACCAATCTCCCGAACTGGAACCAGGGGAATGCTCTAAACTCCCGAACAGGAAACACACGAATGCTGTAAACAGCCGAACAGGAAAAACCATACGAACAGTTAACACTCCTGGCAGTCGCACTGTAACAGCAGACAATCCAATTCCCCCCAAGAACGAAACAACACTTTTTTTGAGGGTCAAGCAGAACTGACTGTACTGGCACATACAGCCTCTTTTATTCACAATCCACAAACATAGTACTGCCCACAGGGTTTTGAAATACAACCAATCAATCTATACAATACACACAGACACTCCCACACAAAATCCTCCCCTCTGCTTGTGATATGATTACTGAACACAATGGTTAATATAATTATCACAGGCAGAGAAATACAGTATTATAAAACATATCACAGGGAGCCCAAAACATGCAATAACCCCATAAAAAGTATATCCTCGGAACCGGGGGATCTGGGTGAACCACATATCCAAAATTCACCCAGATCCAGGGCCAGACTGGCCCACCGGGATACCGGGAAATTTCCCGGTGGGCCGTCGGCACCTGGGGCCTTGCAGACGCCTGGGTCTGCTGGGCGAGTTGCGCTGTCTCTGCTCCCTGGCGCGCAGCTTCATGAGACCGGGGCCGGAATCCGACGTCATATTCCAGCCCCGGTCTCATTCAGCAGCGCGTGAGGGCGGGAGAGCAGAACCAGAAGACCTCCCCCTTGCAGGTATTAGTAATGTGTGTCAGTGTGAGTTTGTCTGTCTGTTATGGTGTCTGTCTGTCTGTATGGTCTGTCTGTCTGTCTGTGTCATGGTGTGTGTGTGTGTGTCTGCCAGCAGACCTCCCCCAGCGGCCGCCAGTAGACCTTCCCCAGCGGCCTCCAGAAGACCTCCCCCTGGCAGGTATTAGTAATGTGTGTCAGTTTGAGTTTGTCAGTCTGTTATGGTGTGTGTGTCTGTCTGTATGGTGTGTGTGTGTCTGTCTGTGTCATGGTGTGTGTCTGTCTGTCCGTCATGGTGTGTGTTTCTGTCTGTCATGGGGTGTGTGTCCGCCTGTCTGTGTCATGGTGCCTTTCTGTATTGTGTGTGTGTGTGTCTGTCTGTAGTGTGTGTCTGTCTGTATGGTGTTTGTGTGTGTCTGTCTGTGTCATGGTGTCTGTATGGTGTGTGTGTTTGTCTGTCTGTGTCATGGTGTGTGTGTGTGTGTCTGTCCATCATGGTGTGTGTCTGTGTCATGGGGTGTGTGTCTGTCTGTCATGGGGTGTGTGTGTCTGTCTGTCATAGGGTGTGTGTCTGTCTGTGTCATGGTGTGTGTGTGTGTGGGTCTGTCTGTGTCATGGTCTGTCATGGGGTGTGTATCTGTCATGGTATATGTGTGTTTCTGTGTGTGTCATGGTGTATATGTGTTTTTAAAAATAGTGTTTTTGCTCATGGGGTGTGTCTGTCCGTCATGGGGTGTGTGTCCGCCTGTCTGTGTCATGGTGCCTTTCTGTATTGTGTGTATGTGTGTCTGTCTGTAGTGTGTGTCTGTCTGTGTCATGGTGTCTGTATGGTGTGTGTGTCTGTCTGTCTGTGTCATGGTGTGTGTGTCTGTCCATCATGGTGTGTGTCTGTGTCATGGGGTGTGTGTCTATCCGTCATGGGATGTGTGTGTCTGTCTGTCATGGGGTGTGTGTCTGTCCGTCATGGGGTGTGTGCCTGTCTGTCATGGTGTGTGTGTGTGTGTGTGTGTGGGTCTGTCTGTGTCATGGTCTGTCATGGTGTGTGTGTGTGTCTGTCATGGGGTGTGTATCTGTCATGGTATATGTGTGTTTCTGTGTCTGTCATGGTGTATATGTGTGTTTAAAAATAGTGTTTTTGCTCACTTTTTTTTTTCCCACGCAGCATGCTGGTCTCCCCTCGACTGGCCCTGCCTCTATAGCTGAGATCATCAAGCTTGATTATCTCAGCCAATCCAATGCTTTGCCATAGGATTGGCTGCAAAACGCCACTCCAATCAGCATCTCCTCATAGAGATGCATTGAATCAATGTATTTCTATGGGGAACGTTCAGCACCTACAGAGTGTGGAGGCCCTGAATATAGGTGCACTGACACAGGAAGCACCTCTAGTGACCGTCTAAGTGACTGTCACTAGCAGTGTCACTTTGAAGCAATGTAAACACTGCCTTTTCTCTGAAAAGTCAGTGTTTACGTTGAAAAGCCTGTAGGGACATGCTATAAACACCAGTACCACTACATTAAGCTGTATGTGTGTGTCTGCTAGTGAGTGAGCTTGCTTGCATGCATGTGCCTGCTAGTGAGTGAGCTTGTGTTTTTATGTCAAAGAGCTGATGTATATCAGTGAGATTGTTTGTCTATGAGGCTGTGTATCAAGGAGCTTGTGTGTGTCATTGAGATGTCAGTGAAATTGTCTGTGTCTGCATGTGAGTATGCTTACTGTATAATTAAACGCTTTACCCTGAAAGGATCAATATTTTTTATTAGAAAGTTAAAATGGCCGCCATCCATTGTTCTCACCATGTGCTTCATCCATTGTTCTCACCATGTGCCTCTGATACATGAAATGGTGGCCACCCAGTAACTCCACAGTATGTCCCCAGATGGTTCTTAAAGCACAACACAAATCCATTATGCCCAAATCTTGTATTTAAAGGGCCAAACCTCCCAGGGACCATAATCACATGGCAAGTGGCTGGCAAGCAGTCCTCGCCTGGCACAAGTGGCAGGGCTGGTTCTGCCACAATGTGGGTGGAATGAGGGCCCGACGTCCACAGGTGGGGGTGGTGCTTACAGCCCAACACTGTGTAGGACGTTTGGCATTTGCCAGAGAACACCAAGATTGGCAAATTCGCCACTGGAGCCCTGTCTTCTTCATAGATGAAAGCAGGTTCACACTGAGCACATGTGACAGACGTGACAGAGTCTGGAGACGCCGTGGAGAACGTTCTGCTGCCTGCAACTTCCTCCAGCATAACCGGTTTGGCAGTGGGTCAGTAATGGTGTGGGTTGGTATTTCATTTGGGGGCCACACAGCCCTCCATGTGCTCACCAGAGGTAGCCTGACTGCCATTAGGTACCGAGATGAGATCCTCAGACCCCTTGTGAGACCATATGCTGGTGCGGTTGGCCCTGGGTTCCTCCTAATGCAAGACAATGCTAGACCTCATGTGGCTGGAGTGTGTCAGCAGTTCCTGCAAGACGAAGGCATTGATCCTATGGACTGGCCCACCCGTTCCCCAGACCTGAATCCAATTGAGCACATCTGGGACATCATGTCTCGCTCCATCCACCAACATCACGTTGCACCACAGACTGTCCAGGAGTTGGCAGATGCTTTAGTCCAGGTCTGGGAGGAGATCCCTCAGGAGAACATCCGCCACCTCATCAGGAGCATGCACAGGCATTGTAGGGAGTTCATACAGGCACGTGGAGGTCACACACACTACCGAGCCTCATTTTGACTTGTTTTAAGGACATTACATCAAAGTTGGATCAGCCTGTAGTGTGTTTTTTCACTTCAATTTTGAGTGTGACTCCAAA